TGCATGAGCTAAAAGCCAACTGGCCCCTAGCTAAGACTGTAGAGCAGATTCATTAATCTCTAAGTCAGGGATCAGCAACCTTTGACACGCGGCCCATCACAGTAAGCCCCCGGGCGGGCCGGTTTGTTTACCTGCCGCGTCCACAGGTTTGGCCGATCGCAGCTCCCACTGGCCGCGGTTCGCCGCTCCAGGCCAATGGGGGCGTGGGAAGCTTCGCAGGCTGAGGGATGTGCTGGCCGCCGCTTCCCGCAGCCCCCATTGGCCTGGAGCGTCGAACCGCGGCCAGTGGGAGCTGTGATCGGCCAAACGGACGCAGCAGGTAAACAAACCGGCCCGCCAAGGGGCTTACTCTGGCGGGCCGCGTGTCGAAGGTTGCCGATCCCTGACTTAGAGATTAATGAATCTGCTCTACAGTCTTAGCTAGGGGCCAGTTGGCTTTTAGCTCATGCAGTAGGCAGGGGTTCTCAACCTGGGGATCAGGAGGTTATTACAGGGGGGTTGCGAGCTGTCAGTCTCCACCCCAAACCCTGCTTTGCCTCCAGCATTTATAATGGTGTTAAATATATAAAAAAGTGTTTTTAATTTATAAGGGGGGGTCGCACTCAGAGGCTTCCTATGTGAAAGGAGTCACCAGTACAAAAGTTTGAGAACTACCTCAGTAGAGGCTCATGCACTAAGCTCTAGAGGTCTCAGGTTCAATCTCTACATGAGCAATCCAGATTCAGCCCCACAGCTCTTTGACCTCCCAGGGCCATCAGGAGCTGGGTGTCCTGCACAGAGGTGGTTTTCAGTTTTGGAGATTAGAATGTCGGAGGTTGTACCAGTGCCTTCTACTAGCTGGACTATCACAGCTATATGTGAATCTGCACGTATATGAGGATCTTCCACGCAACTGGCTGGCTTTCAAAGTGTCTATAAATCCTACTAATGGAACAGCTAACAGCAATTCTTCTTGTTCTCAAGTGGCAAACGCTTGTATTATTATAAATGTGCCCAAAAGTTTGTTAGGTGCCTCCCGTAGCAGAAAGAAGAAAATGGAATTAAATTAAAAGCGCCTGGCCCCAAGCACTTTACAGATTAATTTTGGGAAATGATGCAATGAGAGAAATAATGTGACAGTAGAGCAGGAGAGGGAGGGAGGATGGGGCAACAGTAAGATTACATACTTACTCAGAGAAGTTAGTGCACAGCACAGCATAATAAAGCACAGAGTTCTTTTCATGAGATATATAGACACAATGAATAAGAAGACTAATAGCCAACTTGTAGGAATCGTGAAAGAAGTGGATCTTCAGGAGGAATTTAAAATGAGAGGGTAGAGGCTTTGCAGACCAGTTTGGGATGGTATGCCATGCATCTGGGCATGGAAGAAAGCATGGAAAAGACTGTGGGAGAAGTAGACAAGCATGTCAAGGCTTCCATTATTCAGTGTAAAGGGGCATATCAGGGTCCTGTTTTCCTTACTTGTGTTCCACATTTTGTCAGGAGCAGTGAACCAGCAGACGTGAAAGTTTACATTTTTCAAATGAGTAGCAAGGCATGCTTTTGGCCTCCACATGAATAATTCCACCACACCTTGCTGCACCTCCTGCCCTTTATGCCATTCTGGCTCTGGAAGTCATAATTGAACCCATGAAGTCCCCGAAGTGGCAGTAAACACAGAGAACAAAAAGATGCCACCCAGAGCAGTAGACATGAGCAAAACCATGCATTTAGCCAAGCAATTTCATTATCGCCAACCCCAAAAGTTAAAAAATCGTGACTCAGACCCTCCCCCCCCAAATCATGAGATGGGTCTCAAAATCATGAGGTTTTTTTTTTAAAAGATACTGTGTTTTTTGGTCTCTTTAACAGGCAGCCTGCCCCATTAAGGGCCAGTAGGCCTTGGATCAGTCTGCTCTGTTCAGTTATCCCTGCCATGCTACACCTGTAAAGGGTATGAAACTTAAAGGAGGAAAGCCCAGCATTTCAGAGCTGAGCAGCAGTGATCTATTAAATGATATATTGGTTTTGACAACAGAATTAGAAGGTAAAGGCCGACTGGGAAGAAAACAGAATTAGCAGGTAAAGGCTAACTGGGAAGAAAACAGATTGACTGCTCCTATCTAAGGGAAGGAAGCCTGGCTGAGGGCCAGGAGCTGTGTGAGGACTGTGGCTAACTAGAGCCTGTTGTGAGGGTGGGTTTAAACTGAATTGTTGAATGGACTAATGCCCAGGAGACAGGTGGGGCTTGCGTGTAAAGAACGGCTAGATGCTGAGCCTGGCTCGGCTGAAGATTCCTTTGTTTTGTGCTTTTGTTGTCCTTGTAAGGACTCTTTTGCCCTGGAAGGTGTAGAACTTTCCTATGAGGGCAAGTCACCTGTATGACAGGAGTAGGCTGAAGATCCTTGTGGGGAAGCTGACGTGGAAGTGCTGAAATGCTGTGTGTCTCGGGTGAGTCTCTTAGTCTGTCCTTTAATTTTTGAACTCCTCCTGCTCACCCATAGTGTGTATGGGACAATTAGGCCGTCTTCACTAGGAACTCTTTGCTGATATAGGTATACCAGTATACTATAGAGGCTAAGCACTCCTAGGCCAGGTCTACACTTGGGGCTTTTGCCAGTACAGTGATGTCTGTCAGGGGTGTGATGAAATATGTTCCCTCAGGCATTTATCAGTAAAGTACTCTGAGTGTAGACCTGGCATTAGTGTTGCCAAATCTCCCAAATTTATCAAGAAATGTGACATCGCCGTCCCCCGATGGTGCCTCATTGGCTGCCTGATGGTGAGGAGCTTCCAGCTAAACCCTAACATTCTAAATAATTAATTTGGTGTCAATTCATACTACAACTACCTAGCAGTTAATTTTGTCCTGGGATCCTACATCAGTTCAGCCCCACCAGTCTCACTTCTCCTCCTGCTGCAGCTCCTGGTGTTCTTCACCCCTCTCCCACACTAGGGTGGGGGCTGCAGCAGAGTCATCTTCTCCAGCTTCACAGGCCTGGTATTGCAGGGAGGTGGAGGAGCAGAGGAGCCGTCCCATTGTCCTGGGAAAGCAGAGCTGTTACGGCGCTAGGCTCTTTCCGCTCCCTTTGGGGTCAGCTCCTGAGAGGAAGTAAGGAGAGCTCAACCAGTTTCCTTCAGCATCCCTAATTGACTGCTCTTCCAAAGGAGGCAAGCAAGTGGGGAAGGCAGCCAAACAGAGGGGATTTTCTTAGACAGAGCTGAAATTCACTACAGGACTGGAGCTTCTGTCCTCATCCCCAGACTGGCTGCAGCCTTAGCCAAAATCCCTTGACTCACGAAATCGAGAGTTGGCAACATGGCAAAAAACGTGGAAGAGATGGCTGATTGCTATAGAGATCATTTAATTAAATAACACTTCCTTTCCATGGGTTGTTATGAGAATTAGTTAGATAATTACTGGGGGAGCTGATAACCATTTACTGTTAAGGTTTCTTGACACTTCTCATTATAAGACCCTGTTTTCAGTTGCTTATAACTTTGCCGAACTTTAACTGTTTGGGCTTGAACTTTCCATGCTGTGTGTCTGCCTCAGGCTGATTACTTTTTGGAAAATTTCAGCCCAAATGGTTCATTTGTTTCCAAGAAGGAGGCTGGGGGTAAAATATGATATGCCCATTAAAAAAATGTTGAGTGACCCTTTCTTTGAAAAGCTTTAGCACCCTCATGCTTTGGAGCAGACATAGTTGCCAACTCCATGGGTGCTCTGGGGCTAGAGTACCTATGGAGAAAAAATGGTGGGTGCTGGCAACCAACGGCAGCCCCTCTATCAACTCCCCACGCAGCGCCTCCCACCCGCCAGCAGGCCCCACGGATCAACGCCGCCTCCTGCTCCTTCCCTGCACCTCCTGCCTGCCACTAACAGCTGTGTCGCAGTGGGCAGGAGGCTGGGAGTAGGGGGGAGGAGTGAAGATGTGATGTGCTTGGGGGAGGGGGTGGAACTGGGTGGGAAGAGGCAGGGGTGGGGTTTTGGGGGAAGAGGTGGAGTGGGGGCGGGGCCTGGGGTCAGAGCCGGGGGTCAAGCCGCCCCCCAGCACTTTGGAAAGTCGGCGTCTGTGGGAGCAGGGATTTGAAAATTGTCAGGGA